CTTTGGTCCCAGCTACTTGGGAGGCGGAGGCAGGAGACTCGCTTGAGCCCTGGAATTGGAGGTTGCTGTGAGCTGTAATGCCATGGCACTCTGCCCAGGGGAACAGCTTGAGGCTCTGTCTCAAAAAAAAAAAAAAGAAATGTCTAATAGGAGTGAGTCTGTATTAATGACACTGCTGGAATGTGGAGATGGAGTGTGAATCTGATCCCTTTCTTACTGGAAGTGTTGCTATTTTCTATTATCTTGGGTTTTATTTTGTATAATAAATTACTTTTAAATAGTGTCTTCTGCTTGGTTATTTTTGGGGGATGGTCATGATAAAGTTGAAGACTTGTAAAAAAATATTTCCAACATTTGGTCATTTAATAAGTCTTTATCTGCACTATTCTAGGAACTGGGGATTTAGCAAAGAACAATATAAACAAGGTTGCTTCTATCAAATCATGTTTACATTTTAAAACGAGTGTTGGGGACAGGTAAGTCCATAAACAATAAATGAACTTGGCAATTCAGACTGTGATAGGTGCTATACAGGACTTGGTGAAGAGGCAGGAACCCTTGAAGCTCAGAGTGTGATGTTGTTTCTAAAATTTGGCTGGGGGGGCAGCACCTGTGGATCAAAGTAGTAGGACGCAGGCCCCATATGCCGGAAGTGATGGGTTCAAACCCAGCTCCAGCCAAAAACTGCAAAAATAAATAAATAAAAATTAAATTTGGCTGGGTGTGGTGGCAGCACATTTGAAGTCTCTGCAACTCAGAAGGCTGAGGAAGGAGGATTGCTTTACCCCAGGAGTTCAAGGCTGCACTGAGCTGTGATTGTGTCACCTCACTTAAGCCTGGTGACAATACAAAACCCTTGTCTCAAAACCCCCCAAAAGACAAAAAGGAAACCAGGACGATGGTGATGGGGTACAGAGGTCAAGGAAGCCCTCTCTGACATGAACTGAGTCTCCCGAAAAAGAACCAGATGTAGGGAGATCAGTGGTAAGATTATCAGTGATAGGCTCGGCGCCTATAGCTCAACCAGCTAAGGTGCCAGCCACGTACACCTAAGGTGGCGGGTTCGAATCCCCAGCCCGGACCTGCCAAACAACAATGACGGCTGCAACCAAAAAATAGCCGGGCGTTGTGG